TGGTATAGTAACATAAACAAGTCAGATCAAAAGAAGTTGAAGATTATACAGAACAAAATGGTGAGATTTATCAACTGTTCTGGTCCAAGAACTCATGTTGGCTGTACAGCGAACTTTCTAAAGCTGGTTTTCTTGGAGTCGACCAAAGATCAAAACAACTCGTATTGCATCACGTGCATAAAATATATCATACTAGGTCGAATCATTATATTCGATCCAAATTCGATCTTGTTACTGACGTACATGATTATAATACAAGAAATAGCCGATTCAACTTTAACTTACCAGAAAGAGTAGGTAGTATTGGAAATTCGTTTTATTACAATGCCATAAAACATTGGAATTCCCTTCCCAATGGTGTTAAAGAAATAGGAAACTATGATCATTTTAAGAGGAAATTAAAGGAATACCTAATACTTGACAGTCAGAGAAGAGAAGTGAATGACATGTTATATGATTGAAATTTTTATTCTCCTGTCGGTTCATACTTTTTCATGTTGTATATACTTATGTTTTCGTACATTATAGAAATTCTACAAATTCATCATTATTTTCCTCTTCTTCCTTTTCCTCTTTTTCTTCTTCTCCTTCTTCTTTTTCTTCTTGTTCTTAATATCATTTCTATCATCAGTTTAATGTTGTTATTATTATTAAGTAGTTCTTTTAATTTTCTTATCTGTCTGTAAATATTACTATTTTAACTTATTAATTTTATACATGTCTGTATGGGACACCACTGGAAATAAGCTCTCGAGCTTCTGTGGGTTATCCTGTTCAAGCTGACTTATTTTTGATCTGTTATTATTGTATATTGTTGTATGTTGGAAGCTTGTCGAATAAAAATCGAATAAAAAATCAAGCAGAAGCTCAACTTCAAAGTCTAGATATACTGTAAACAGACTTATTTAAAGTAAAGAGAGTTGTGATTTTTTTAAATTTAAGAGATATAGTATATAGTTATACATGGGAATCACAAAAAAAGATATGATGGATGTCATTCTAACAGTGGACTTTTTTTTTTTGTTGTAGAATTTAATTTGTCCAAATAAACAGAAATTGCATGCCTGTGACATAGATTTATGAGCTTTAGGGAGAAAAAAGAGATCTATGTTAAGGGTTATAATCTGACAAATCTGTCATAATATTTGAGAAAAAGATATGAATCAACTGTACTGTTTTACATGATAAAAAAAAAATATTTGTACTAAATTTTCTTTGATCTGAATCACTGGTTCCTTGCTTCCATTTTTGAGTAATTTTCATGATTTACATACATGTAGATGATTATACCTTTGAAAGGATTTACTTGTCCTTCAGGCCCCTTCTTGTACTGTACTTTGACACTGTTTGAGTATGATACTAATAAGCCTATAATGGTCTTATGATATTCAAAGTCCACATTCAATAATTGATATTGTTGACAATGCCCTCAAGATAACTGTGTATGTAAATTTATGATAGATAAGTTTGGCAAACTCTTGTAGGCATGGCGAAAGTACATATACATTACAATCTTTGTCATTCATGTTGCTTCATGCTGTGTAGCCTCTACCTTGACAAAATGAAGCAACTTTTGAACTGCAGTTTGTTAAAAATTAAATAATAATGGAACATCATCAAAAAGATATAAGGGACAATCGACAACCTGATTGATTTTCTTTTTCCACTCTGAAAAGTTTGTCTTTATTCAAAATTTTAGAAAGCATCACTGTTTGAAATTATGTGCATTTATATTTTAAGAAGAACAATTTGGTTGTCTAATTAATAGGAGCTTTATTTCTTTTGTGAAAGTAGGAAAAAATAGTATTGAAATGGTCATGATATAAATCTAGTCAAGAATGAAAATGTACACTGTTGACCTGTTCCTACATGTATGATCATTAATTAGTTTTTTGTTTTGTGGTTTAGATATTAATTGATATGATATAAACTTCTTAAAGAGATCGTTTAACAATGTTAAATCTGAGATGCACGGCCCTACGTGTCATCAGTGTCTGTGATATGGTGTTATATTGAAGCCCTAAAAAATTGCACTTCAAAATGATCAAGAAGTGCCTCAAAAAGTAAAAACCTTTGAGTGACCGGTTTTTTTACCATACTTGTTTTCCCCAATAGACTGTAGTGTTATGAAAACCGTTTGGCAAACGCAAAATTTGATATTGATTTTCAATCATAAATATCTTGATAATCAGACAGGCGATCGGCTTGTAAAAGTCATGGGGTTCCTGACTAACTTAAAGGTTTATAATTATCATTGCAGCATGAGCTAATTTTTATAAAGGACCTAAGACAAAGTTACCGGATACCTTTAAAGGTAAAGACCAGTATTGGAAACGCCCCAATTTCAAAAAATGAAATGCAAGCTCTTATTACCAATCATGTGAAAGAATATGTTTTGAATAATACATGATGATAAAAATGTTGACGGGAAACTGCCTACTAATTGATATATTTGGTAAATTAGTGTATCTCTCGCCTGTTGAGAGATACAAATGCACGTGTGTGTAGTCCCATATACATCTTTCTGTGTGCAGTGATTCTAACCTTATGAAGACCCCGGCCCCCCCACTCAGTGTTATTTAGGGTACGCATATGCTCGTACCCTCTTTTTGAAAGCACCCCCTATCTGAGGACTGCCAACATTTCCGAACCCCCCTTTCGCGGCTTTTCGCGGGCTTTTTTTGCATTGGAGACCCCCCTAAATCAGAAAAAATGCTCAATGTACCCCCTAAATTCTGAATAATTTCTCAGGAGTCCAAAGAGATGAGAGAAAAAAAGAAAAACACCCCCTTTTTAAAGAAATCTCCGGGTGAAAAGTCAAATACACCCCTTTTCTTACAATTCTCGGGCCGGACTTTGTCGCACGAAAAGTACCCCTTTACCGGACATTTTGGCAACACGCATGCGGTCATTCCGACCTCTGAGTGGGGGGGCCGGGATGAAGACTTGGCCAAATTTCTTATCATTTTGATGATTCCAGAACCTTGCAGTACATCTATGCTAAATGATCAAACTTTTCTGATCGATTTCACAATGTTTCTTTCACAATGCAATCGCATGGCCATAACTGGTCTTTAGCTTTAAGTACCATCTGAGCAATTTGCAATAATATTTAAATTCAATACTTCACTCCCTGAATCACTCTGTTCTCATATTATACATATTTGCTGCCCTCTTTAATCATAAAAGAGCTCATTTCAATGGTATGTATTCTACATTATTGACTTGGATAAGTGTTGAAAAATTATAGAGTTGAAAGTGTGATAATGGTATTGCAATTTAAAAAAATGTCACTACCTATACAAAATATGCTCCAATTAAGTTGAGAAGTATAGTTATCAAAAGCTATAAATATAAGCATGTCATATTTCAAACTGTGTGGACTGAGTGTGAGTATAGACCAAGTGCTTTGGCAAGAAAATGAAGACTCACTTTACAGAAAGGAAGAATAAACACATTCCATAAATTTTCAAATACTGGGTTTTCAGTTGGCTTTGGACAAGTATTTAGAAGTATCCTTTAAAAAAAAAAAGAAGCTTTTTCCAAATTGCAGTTCTCTGCATATGCATTGGAAATGTTATAAGAAGCAATGGGTTTTATTGTTTTGACATTAGGATTATAATCAGCAACTTCATCTGAATATATTCTGCTGAAAGATTGTACATTGAAAAACATAAAGAAAAAAATTTCTCCACCCATTGTCTTTAAAATTATTTTTTGTTTTGTTGTTGTTGTTGTTGTTGTTTTTTGTTGGGGGGGGGGGGTGTATCCTAACATGCACATCAATGAATTAGGGAAACTACATTTCAAAAATCCCATGACAAACTCTCAAAGGATCATATTCACATTTTCATTTTTTCTTTATTCTTCTTTTCTGTTCCCTCTTTTCTTGTTTTTTTTAAATTAAAATCGACTTTGTAGAATTGCTGAATCTTAAATTGGGTGATCTTTTGTTAAATTTTTGTTTCTATATATTGTCATTTCACTGAACACCCAAATTGCTGAATTAGTGCTCAAAACCAATTACCAGTACAGAAGATTAGGAAGATATGGATGACACCTTGATGTAATCAATTGTTGATTATCCTCTCAGCGATCTGATCAATCAATCCATTAAAATCTCCACTGCCACCTCATCTTGTGTAATTGTCTTGTAACTGCAGAATGTACTTCATCCAACTATCCATCCAAGGCATAGATCCAGTTGAATGGTGTAGTGTCTTCCTCCAAAGTGTCCCAACCTTTTGATCTTTCAAAGAATGGATCAGATGACAGCTAATCCACTGACAAACAGTTTGTAGAATAATACCCACCCCCTCAGCCTATTGACTGTTCCGTGATTCATAGTAAAGTTCAAATGTGTAGGCCTGCTGCAAAATTCCCCCCACATGGGACATCTCCATAAATTGCTAAAGTGGGTTACTTTGGGTCCTTTGGGAATGAATTCTGTAATTATTGATGTCATCACATTACATCAGGAAACTTTTAGATTTGGTTGATCAGAAATGAGGTTTTAGTTTCACTCCATTTCTTATTTGGAAAATGCTGGCATAGTTTGGAGATGCTTCATGGGGTAGATTATGACCCCCATAGGAATGGCCCATTAGGAGTAAGTTGTGTCCCTTCCACTTTGTTTTAGGGATGTTTTGGTGTAAGACTTTGATGAAACTTAGCAACTCCCTAATTGTTCTCTATCCATTGAGTATATTATGCATGCTGTGGTGTACAATATAATGATATGAGTCACCTCCAAATTAAAATGTTTCACTTAAGCAATGCTTTTGATGGATTAAAGGCAGACTAGCATTGTTCTGTGCACTTCATAGTCCCTCTATCCAGCTTAGTGCAGCACCCCAAGCACACACACAAAACACAGACAGGCTTGGGTGATCCATTTGGAACGCTCCCCTACTGTTTGAATGCCCTAATCTCGACCTAACCACTCTGGTATGTGAGAAAGTTATTTGCATGGTTTTCGGGGTTACTGAAGCATCATAAAACTTTGTATACACAGTGATGCCATCAGTTGGTGTAGTATTGGCACAGGGAAGTACGTGTACCATTCAGGGTTCTCTCAGTGGCTGTTTATAGTACAAGAATAACGTATCTCTACAACTTTGGCCTCTGAAATTTGTGGAATATTCATTGGATATATAAGCATTTGGTGTATTGTTCTTCTCACATGTTGATGTCATAATTGTTACAAATTGACAGAGTAAAGTCAGAAACCAGAGAGCAAGATGGGTAGACTCAAGTGAGTATAAACTTTGACTTGTGTTTTGTTCAATTCAAGTTGTGGATTTGTTAACATGTTGAAGTTACCTTTGAAATGCTAACCTTAACCTAAACCATCATTGATTACCCATGTTCCTGTAATAAAAAACAATTAAGCAGAATAGAAAGGAATACATGCAAGTTAACATTTGGAATTATTTCCAGCTAAAGCTGGGCAATCAATAATGTTACAGTTAAATGACAGATCAAGGAGCTAGAGCTAGGAGTTTTAGCTCCTTGGACAGATCACCTGCACAAGATCATGCAGGTTAAAATGTATTTGATTTCAAATCTAAACAAACTCCTTCTTTGAAAACTTTTATCTTATTTCAAAAAATCTTTGTGGCACAGTTGCCTTTTGTTCATAATGTTTGTCCACTACCCTATAGTTATCCACACAAATTTTTCATTTTCTTTTGCACTTCTTTGGAATGACTTTGCAATTCTTATGAAATTGTGTTTTTATTCTTTTCTACCTCAGTTTATCCAAATATAATTTGATTTGTTAACTTATGTGCATGGACTGTTTTTATATTGGAAGATCTATATTTGGATTGAATTGTACATCAATTATTTTTTTTCAAATTCTGTGTAATGAATTTGCAAAAATTGGAAAAAATCATGTTGAAATTCTTTTTGAATGAATATCTAGAATATCTAGAATTACTAGTTTGTTGACCATTTGTATGCGTTAAATGTTCAGAGCTACGTGTAATACTTGTACATTAGTTCTCTTATGTATTGAATTTGAATGATCTCTCTCTCTCTCTCTCTTTCTCTCTGATGTCATTGGACATACACATACAATAACAAGTAAATAGTCACAACCATATGTTCTCGGAGCAATTACAGTGTAACTACATGTATGCAGGAAACATGCAAAATCAACGGGCATGATCACTGTAACAAGAATAACAACATCAGGTTACTTTTGAAGTAATCATTATGGTTTTGGGAATGAATTAAGGTTGCCGTAAACAAAGTATTAACTGTTTTTATGCAGTAATAGGGAAACTTGTAATACACCAATCAGCACAAACATGGGATTGGATGTGTATTGATCTGTCCAGCATCATCAGCATGTCCATGTTATTTTCTCTTGATGGCCAGTTCCTGTATCATTTATTTGAAAGTCACTTGCTAGAACATTTATTGTACTACTGTACATGTGTAGTTATTTTTAACTAGTGAAAACAAATCAGTTGGATTCTTCATGACTTTTATTTATCGGAGAGGTTTAATATAGGAACTTGTTTTGCTAGTTACATATTTTAATGAATTCACAAGTTATGAAGCTGTATCTTTATTGCTCAGAAAGCAAATACTGTAGGTGCTTTCACCTAGGCCTACTACAAGTAATGACAAGTTGGCAACCTACAGTATGTGTGTACGTAATGTATGTACAGGGGGGTGTCATGGCTGGAATTGATGCCTAAAACCAGAGACATCTTGGCTTGAAGAATGTACAGTGTACTCCAGATTTTATTCCATGCAGGTTTCATTCTACAGTTTACCAATATGTAGGTGTAAAGTAAACCCAGCACTGAATCCGCCGTAGTCTACATACCTTTGTGATGAACTTTGCATGACCAATCTACATTCATCAGCCTTATCTACAGATAAATTTGATGACCAAAGATAAACAGATTAACTTGGCACCCAGAATACCTGTTTTAGGTTTTTGTGGCTGCATTGTTTGAATTGCTTATTTACAGGTTGCAAAACTTGCAATAAGACTTTAATCTTTTGAGAACTGCTGACCTACAGTACAAGCATGAGCTGAAACTTTATTTACAAAATTTTAAATTTGTAGAGATAAAATGTTTTGAAATAGGTATATACGTGTATTTATTAGCTTGCAAGCACAAAAAATTTCTTATTTAGGCTTCTACAATATCTTGTTTTTATATACTAAATACACTAAAATGTAGATACATGTATTAGTGTAGGCTCACAATCATTGGAAAGAACAGGGTTGCTGTTTTTAAAAACGGCTGGATTCTGGCGGTACATGTAGCATTGAATAATATGCATGCAACCCTCTTCCAGTAGTGAACATTGGCTTGCTTATGTACATGTACATGTACATGTATATTTGGATGAAGCAAACCAATGTATTATCATGTACATGGATTATGGATACTTCATCTATCTACATGTACATGTACCTGTACCTGTCATGTACTGCACTGGTCATAAATATTGTTAAATCTTGAATTTATGAAACAGTCTGCAGCAATGAAAAATGTAGTCACATGTTGCTTGGGGAAATCCCCCAGCTACATACATGTACATGTTATGTGAACAAGTTTAACTGTAAATCAACATTGAAAGAAACCCGATGATTGTTCATAGCAGGAGGAAGTGGTTTGTATTATTTCTAAATGTTCTGAATGTTCTGCATCAGTGGATCAGTGTATCATGGGCTGCATATGATACAGGGTATCGATATTGAAACAGGAGCGTGCAACTCAAACATTTTATACAGGATGCACATCGAATTTTTTGCCATACTGGTGCAAATGTACTTTTTGTTGTTTTGATATTTTGATATTATTTTGAATTAGCTTTTGTTCTGTACAGGCAGAATGAAAATATTTTATCTTTTCTTTCCCATTAGCAGAAGATGTTGGTCACTAGTGTAGGTCTACATGGACTGTAGCGTGTACATGTAGTGTACTAGTATTCTGAGTAAAGAACAGCCATGTTTACTATCTCACAGTAATAGGTAACAATACAGTACTGTACTGTAATTGAAAATTCAATGCAAGTTAAATTATACGATTATACAATTATACATCGAATGATATGGTTCAACAAAATGTTAGGATCCAGTCAATAATTAAACGAAAATTTTTGAACAGTATTTACTATTACTAAGCTGTGTGAAGTCAAGTTGATTTATTAGACCTGCCACATTTAAACAGAGGCACCACTAAAAAGCAAAAATATGACATTTGAGTGGTGGTCAACTCACAGAAAGCGGTACAAGGTTAAGTCTTGATTGTCCTCCTAGGCTCGGAGAAGTGGTATGTGGGAAGCATCTTTATTTAGAACAGACATGAAATGGCATTTTAAGACGGAGTAAGCTTATAGACACACTGCAAAAAAGGATGCCGCAATAAAATTGAGAAGGTGTGGTAAACATGCATGCATGAAGACATGGAACAAGTGCAAATGGCAGCGTATAAAACTATATGTACTGTATGTGTACATGACATGTATGACTAGCGAAATAACAAAATTTGACTTACATGTATGAACACTGTACCTCAGTAAATATGGCTTTGTTTTTGTGTGATATCGTCATAATATCGATGTCGATAGTTGTTCCCAGATGACTGAGCAATTTAAAAACAATATTGGTCAGTCATCCGGGTACTGCGCTAAAGATATTGAATACTAATAACACTGATTTATTGTACCACTTGGAAGCCTTATAAATAATAATATAGTCTACATGTTGTATGCACATGTATGAAGTGCACTGTTTTGCTCTAGGCGAGATTTGGAAAGCTGATGGTAAACATTATGAACACAGTTGAAAGTACATGTACTGTATGTATTGTATATATGTAGATTTCATTTCATTTACCAGTAATTTATTTGCCAATGTTTTAATGATGCAGATATTTGCTCATACATACATGTACAGTATAATATACTGATACAAAATTCAATGACTTTATGATGTCATGGCTAGCTAGTTTAATCAACTGACTTATATTAGTAGTGAGACAGGGATAACAAAAGATGCATACAGTTTTCCACTCCCATGAATGTGACGAAAGCGTATATTGTAATCAGATTTACCCCCCCCCCCCCCCCCCCCCCCCGATTCTTTTCAAAACCACCAATGAATGTTGATCCTTTGAACATTTTATATACCGGTAGTGAACTTGTTTACAGGCAATCATGTGTATCAGTACGGTATCTAGATATTTATAAACATGAATCGTAAGGTATAGTGTACACTGTAGTTCCTGACACTCGTGACATTACATGTAGTATCACTTATTACCGGTACATGTCGAGGAGGCTATAACTTGTTGTCGGGTTACATGTGCTATATTTAAAATCAGCTGACAAACTCGATCTGCAGTTCTACAGCAAACATGTACTTTGATCTGGCATTGTATTGTGCTTACATTATGAGCTAAGCTGACAACCAGCTGTACTGTACATACATGTATGAGGATTGAGGACAATTAGTTGATTCATACAGTGCAATATTAGCAAGTACTTCTTAAAATCTTAAAAGGAGGAGTTGTTGATTAATCAGACTGTCTATAACCTTTGTAGTGGTGGCTTCACTATATGCAGCGTGTTCCAGTAGACTTACCTGTCATGGATTTGGGGTAAGCATTACTCATTTAGGTTGAGCATCATGTAAATTAAATCCATCATTTTTTCCCCTTTTCTTCACGGATGAGATATGAGAACTGATATTTTCTCCAAGTCTGTTGCGTCACTGCAAGGTTTTTTTTCCAAAAATAATATCTTGTGATATGTCATAAGACTTGAGGCTGAAAGGTGAATAAATCTGGAACACAATCAGAATTTTTTTCTTTGGTCACCATTTGCATGTACATACTGTATGTACATGTAGTATGAGCCATTGTAGTTGAAATGTGGCAATTTGACTACTTAATGATACATGTATCTAAAATAAATAAGTTGCTGATTAATCGGCCTATCAGGTTTACATTGGCTTCTCTGCATGTCCATGTACATGTATGTACATGTACGTAGAATTAACAGTCATGGATTTGGGGTACAAACAAGATGATGTGGAAACTTGAACATTTCGTAAAAAGTCTCCAAACTTTTTTTTTTCCTTCTCTCTCTTGTCCTGCCTAGCAACAAGGTACGGTATACAGTATTAATCTTTTTTGTTTTGTTAATGCGCTGTTAGTAGTAGGCCTACAGGTGTATGGTTGAATCTTTAACACAACTTGTTGATCTCACACAAAAAGTGTG